GGAATGATTTGAGTTAAATCTTCTAAATCCTTCCAACCAGCAATTACTGAAACAATAAGTGGACTGGCGGTTTTGGGATTAAATTACAATTGTCGTAGTTGCACACAAACAACATGGAAGTGTTGCCGTGTGGGCAACAGACTCCCTGTTGTTTACAGCAGAGCATATGGCTCTTGCACTCGTCTCCATTCCCTAGAATGCTTTGCTCCCCTGGAGGACAGAGGAGTCACCCAAGGCTTGGCTTTGCTCTATTCCAGCCAAGGATCTCTAAGATCGGGTAACACCTCAGCTCCATAAGGGGTCTCCAGGGCCAGCTGTGTTTTCAGTACATGTCAACCCTACAGAATGTCAGCCAGCCCTTAGAGTGGAAAAAATAGCTGGAAACACAGACGACAGTGGCCAATGGTCACTATAGAAATAGAGTAGTTTTTGATCAAATGCAAAAAAAAATGGTCTGTAAACAATCTTAAGACTATGAAACTCTAATAACTGTCTTTATATTGATTTAAAAATTTCATACTAGCATTTAGGCATCATAAGGTAGGTTTCCTTCCACATGTTTTCATGCATTTTTTGAGATATCCCCAAAAAATATATATATATTTATATGATTCACCACTTTGACCTTTATCATCTCAGATGCTCAGGGGGAAAAAACAGAAAATTGACACTGGTATTGCTCAGGAAAGATACAACACTGCGAAAACATTTTGACCTTTTGTTGTGACAACAGCTAATTTTGTGCGATATTGCATTTGGGGAAAAAAAAATTGGAATGGAATCAAGACACTAAGATTTCCAGAATGCATTATGAAAAAATATATGCTTGCATGAGGTGGATACTGTATTCAGTACAAACACAGGAATATGCATGAAAACAAATTTACTTAACAAATGCATCAAAGAAGTTATGTGATTTTGCTCAAAAATCATGTGACTGAATAATTTGATGATTACTATGAACTCTCAGAACTGTCTGAATGTGATAGTTTTGTTGTGTTCTTTAACAAATAAATGCTCATTAATACAAAAATGAAATTTTCAGCTTGGATGGAAACAACTACTGATATCAAGAGCTGGCCAGTAATATAAATACAACAAAATTTCCTACTTTTAAACTTTTCAATCTGCCTATATGGCACACACACACACTTCCAGGAAAAAAACTTTTTTGGGAAATAAAGTAGTTTGAAGCAACCTGCGCAACCAGCAGAACACAAAAGATCCCTCATACATCCTCAGGTGACCCATATAGGGCTTTGTAAGGTTTTAGTGTCCATGGCAGATGCTGCTCCACCACACTTTCTAACCCAGGTGCAAATCACCTGTCCCCAGAGACTGCACTGCCCGAAAAAGAAGAACTGCAGTCTTGTTTGATAGCGAGCCTGGTGGCTCTGACCAGCAATAAGCACACCAGTGTGTTTGGTGGATCTCACCACAGGTACATGGACAGAGATGTCCTTTCATTAGAGGGTCAGTGGGTGGGCTGCAGGAATGTATCCACTGACTGTCTCCTCTATATGAGGCAATATGGAGAAAGAAGGTGTACTAGGTACCGATCTAGATGCTGCACAAATCCTTCTCTGAATCATTTGAAAAGAAACTACAAAGACAAGCAGTGGTCATTTCAAGTGCTACAGGCTGGCAACTTCCTGAGCTTCTTGTACTGTGTTTGTATCATGTTGGGTTGGGTATTTACATATTGTTGTATAGCTACCTTAGAGAAAGTCTAGAAAACTATTCTAAAACCCCAGTTATTGCTGTGAAAAAGGTAGAGTTCACTGAAGCACAACCTGACTGTTTGTGACAGCATGATCAATAGCTGTCATAACCTAAATCTGCCATTAAATAAACGCGTACAGTGTTTTGGCAGCAACAGCGAAAAATGAAGTCAAACAGAAAAATGAATCACAAAACAAGCCATTAAACAGTAAATATATACAAAACGCCAAATGGCAGGCCGCATTACTGAATCTTCAGCTTTATAGCAAAATAAATCATGTCTTGCCTGAGTTGTTGAACGTGAATTCCTTCCATTCACTTTCAGACCAACTATTTTCAGTGATGACTGTATCAAAATCTAGCTTATATTTACATATTTTTTACTTTTTATATTATCCTATATATGGTATAAGGTGGAGGGGAGCTCAAAAGGGTCATGTTCAAATATGGTGACCTTCCTCAAAATCTAGCTTATATTTACATATTTTTTACTTTTTTATATTATCCTATATATGGTATAAGGTGGAGGGGAGCTCAAAAGGGTCATGTTCAAATATGGTGACCTTCCTTGACTTTTCAAAGATTTCAAAGTCAAGAAACTACATGTAAAAGGCATACTTGTATAGGTTTAATAAATAAAAAAAGTTCAAACAAATAGTCTACTGAAATGTACACATGGTGATTTGCTTACAATGCAGATTTTTATTTATTTATTTTCTCTCACTGAGAATTCGTAACTGGTCTTACAATTTCTTTATTTTACGTCAAGATGTAAATGAATGCTTTAATGGGAGAACTGAACCGATTCAAAATTAGATTTTTCTTTAGAATGATGCAAAAATAAAACCCAGAAACACATTTTCAAACTCAATAGTCAATGATTGTTTATCTATCATGTCTTATACTACAAGGCGGCACATTAATTGTGATCAGAGACAAGACATAGTCAAGTTGTTTGGTAAAATATATATTTTATTTTATTCTTCATACAAAGCAAAAGTATGAATGTTCAGTATTTAATTATCTAGAAACATCTGTTCCATTTTTCACTTTCATGGTGTAAAATTAATTTTTGATACCACAAAATACTTGGTTTACATGTCTTCCTCATCATTTGTACATAAAGATCATTTCTAGTCTATGTATTTGTGTTATACTCAGAGTAAGACAAGCATTTATAACATCTGGATATCTCTATGAGGTTGAATAAAACTCAACCATTAAACAGATGCATCAGCACACACTGCCTGACCGTGAGCAAAGATATGAAACTTTGCTCATTCCAACTTTTGACAGATCAGAATTCATATGCAGTTCACACATAATCAGTGAGGGATAAACTTTACCCAGAAAATGCCTGAGCAATAAAGCTCCTCTTCGACATCCTGGGACAGTTGTTTCTGAACCAAAAAACTCAATTGCACTGGTATAAATCACAGGAGGCCCTATGGGCGAGCATTTGATGACAATTTACTTGACCCTATTTCACTGCCATCATTCAACTGATTTGCTTTTAAATGCAATGTGAATGCAAGAAACAAGCTTTGATGATTTGATTACAGTTCACATTGTTTCTCTTTTGCCTCCTCAGAACATTTGATTACTTGATGAATTGAATAAAGTAGGAAAAATGCCTTGGGAAATTTCCCTTAATTCAGACTCGAAGGCCAACAAGAATCGTATGGCTGTCCTCACAGCTGATAAATATTACAATCTCCTCTCTAAATGAAAGGAAGTTGGCTTAGCATAGCACAGGACTGGTTCGAGGCACGGCATGTTGTAAAACAAAACAAAAATCAGGGAGCTGATACAGAACTCTTTCATTTTTTTTTAAATGCAAAAATTTGTCTTCAAACAATTAGACATTTCCCTCTGCATTTCATTTTTCAGTATGTTAAATAGGGGTGAAAAAGGCGAAGATTCAGTACATTCGTAATGCTATATTCTGCCTTAAAACCTCCCTGTGACCTAACCCCTTCAATTCTGCTCCAGGAACAGCATCTCAGCCTGACGTTGGCGTAAAAAGTGACATGTTGGCTCCATGCACCCTTCAAACCCTACACCTTGTGAGCTGATCCTGAATCAGGTGCTCTGAGTGAACAGTAACCAGAGCTGCACGAAGCCCAGTCATTCATCTTGCCTTCGAGACAGCCGCCATCTCAGTGGTCACGGGATGAATTTCACAGATAAAGAGCAACCGACTGTTTCTCCACGCTTTCAAGTAGACCAAAAAGCACAGGAAGGCTTGCATGAGAAAAAGATGAACAATGAGGCATCTCAGTGCAAGCTTGTTAAAATCTGGCAAGAAGAGGAGAACCGAGATGTGGCGGAAAACGCGTTTTGATGGGATGAACGAGAAATGCTACTCTTCACGTTAGGGGTTTTATATTCTAGTATGAGTGAAGCTAGATAAAGATAGGGGCCTGCCATCTATGAGGCTTATATGTCATCATTTGGCTCTTGCTTTTTAAACAAATCCAGTTACTTTCAATGCTATCTTGACCTTTGAACCTTTCAGACAGGACAGCAGGCCGTTTCTGAGGCAGGAGAAAAGCTAATCGATCAGTTCAGATATGTTACGCGATTAGCATAATGTCGACATGCTGCCTTGCTGTTGTCCGAGATACGATTTAGCCATCGATGGATTGGTCATTCATTACAGGAAAGGCCAGTGGTTGACTCTAAACATGAGTGACACTGCAAGTAGCAATTAGGGCTATTGATCGTCATGTTATTGAGTAAAGGGACGCATCGGATCAGCTCTCTTGCTTATCAGCCGAACGTAGTAGGACCCAGGCCAATATGGAGTGTAACAAAACACGAAATGCGATATTTCATCACTAAGATACACATCACTAGACAAGCAGAACTGAATAAAGTCGCTGTTGGTTTGTAAATGCACAATACCCGTAACAAGCTGTTTTTGTTTGTCAAACCATTTTCAATTTCGGAAGCACCATTAAATTCATTGTGAATGGAAAAATGCACAGCAAATCAAAAACGTGGAATGTCGGTGGTGAGACTAGAGTTGGGCCGGACGTTATGTACAGTATGGTTAGGCAGCTTAGTGAATTAATTGCTTAGAAATTAAAAATAAATTATTATAAAATAGATTTCTGTACATTTTACATATATATAGCAATCATCTCAATGTCTTTTTGCCATTTCAAATACACAGAAAAAGAAAGAAAACAACAAGTCCTCCATTCACGGTTAATCCCAACCAAAGTTATGTCCAGTCATCTGGTAGAACTTCATGTTGAAAGGTCTGTAGAAGTCTCTAAGTCCCTCCAGGGTTTTAGGCATTAGGTCCCTATGGAGAAAGAGAGAGAAAGGAAAGGGGGTTAAGATGGAGGTCTAATGAAAACAAAACTTTGCATAATGCAATCAAACAGATGGAGCATGTGGCACTCCTCAATCAATGAGCTGATTCAAGGCCATGATTCTGGGTCAAATGTGATTAGCATCGGTTGCTAAACAAAACATGCATTCAAACGTCACAGATGCATACACCATGTTAAACGGCATGGCTGCTACTTAATAGTAAGGGCTTTCTAATGTAATACAGAAGCTTTGGAGAAGTGTTATTTGCTCCTTTGTTTCCTAAAAATCATGCTTAGATCAACCAATATTGCATTTTTATAAGTCTGTTCATACAGACACAAAAACATAATATGCATTATGAATATTGAGTATTGGCTATTAGTATCATTAGTATTATAATCGCTGTTATTTATGTCTATTAATGTAGAGTTTGATTTAGAAGGCCCAATATTCAAGAATTAATGTTAAAAAATATGTATATTTATTTATTTAAATGCCCACATATATATATATGATTCTGAATCTGATTCCAATAGTGTTCCAAAGTATGACCTTAACAACGGTCTTACACTACTGACCACACAGATCTAAACAAAGACTTATACTTCAAAGAGGCTGACACAAATGACCACACTTAGCAAAAGCCTTCAAAACATATGTGCATTCCACATGAAAGTTGTTCAGCCTTGTTTAAAGACAGCGATCCACTTTTAAGACAGTTACAGGGTGAAATGGATAGGGTACGTGCAGGATCGCAATCAAGGGACATTTTTTAAATGAAAAGTGAACATGCATGTTAACGCCAAACAGGCTTGGGTTTCACAACCCCGTCCAATCAGGAAGAGTGGATTATAGTGGAAGAGGTGATAACAGAGGACTTTGATGGACACATGGGGGTATGGATCCTATTTCATTGGCACACGCGCTCAGAAACTTTGACGTGTCAAAAAGTGCAGAAACACATCTGAAGAAAGTTTAGCTTCTGCTGACTGAAAATTTCAAGGCATAGAAGATGATATGTAATGAGAAATCAACCAAAGAAAATAACAGAACACCAAATTTAAGGGATGGAGATAAGTAAAGATAACAAAGTGTGAATTTCAGCCACGCTCAGACGTCAACAGACCTAGAATGAGCCTCCTTGGGGTATCAGTCTGCAAACAGATAAAGCTCTTGTTGGCCTGTTGTCTCTGGAGTATCGAGCCTTGTTGTTAGCACCAGGGCTAATTTACTGCCGCATTGTGAAGTGCGCTGTCAGCATCTGGTGTAATCCTGCTTTGCGTATTTACACCCTGTGGAAACGAGGCTACGAGCAATTCAAAAGTCTGCAAACAATTTGTTGAAGGATATCACACACACTTCAGTGGATCAGTTTATTCTATCTCTCCAAACAGTCTTCAGTAAAAGCCTGACTATTTTTACCACTGGTGTTCTCTAGTTAGAGGTGAGAGCCCCTCAGCACCAAAGCAGAGAGAGGTGTCATCATAAACAAAACCCACGGAGAGTGTTTCAATGCGGACATACATTTCAAAACCATATACCAGGTGCTGCTGTAGACCTAGATTTTTGCTGCATTCTGCTGTTTTTTTGCTATACAGCAACTGCAGAGCACTAACTCTCTGTGCTAAAGGATTTTAAAGGATCACACAGCTGAAACTATGTGTGCAAAAATCCCCATTTTGTAATTGAAAATCAGGCAGCGCTGGATTCAGAATGGAAGAACGGTCTAAGGCTGCAGGAGGTAACGTGTTGATTTATTTGATGGAAAACTGTTGGCTGATTTGTGTGGTTACATGGCATCTCTAAAGAGCTGGCCACAGATCCAATTATGATAATATCAGTTTGATTACCGCTCTGTCAGAACACTGGAGTGAGAGTTTGAGGGAAAGAACACAAGGGGGAAAAAAAACTCATTAATCTCTGTGAAATGAAAACAGATTATGTTAGTGCCTTTTTATACAGTGACGCACTCTCGCACCCTCATCTGCAAGGTTTAACTGTTTATCTCAAGTCTGGAAGAAATATAAATGTGTTGGCTTACTAATATTTAGCCTCTTAGTGTGTGGTTTTAGAAAAAAAACGTTTATTTACTAATTATTGCACAATAGGAGCAAACCAGCTGTATGTGTGCATGTGTGGTGCTAATGAGGTGAAGAGATAATGCAGGCTTTTACTGTTAAATGAACCACCCACACTTACTGTGCTGGGGAGTAAAGAAACATACACACACACACACACACACACACACACGCACACACACACAAACACCGCAAATACAAAACACACACACACACATATATATCCCTGTATATAAAGGATTAAAATAATAATCTAATAAATGCTAATAAAAAGAAGGAGAGATGAATGGATGAAAGGAATAATAGAATGATAGAACCATAGAATGTTAGGTAGATAGAATGATAGGTTGATAGAATGATAGATAAAACGATAGATAGAACGACAGACAGACAGACAGACAGACAGACAGATAGATAGATAGATAGATAGATAGATAGATAAAACGATAGATAGAACGATAGAGCAATAGATAGATAGATAGATAGATAGATAGATAGTTTGGACCAAGAAAAGTGGGAGAAGAAAAAAGTTACAAGACACAAAAAAAACTTAAAAGCCTCCAATAATCCTCTCACCTCACTTCTTTTACTTTGGCAGAGGGCAAAAGAAAAGGGAGGGAGGGAGGAAAGGGGTTGAGGAAGACAAGTCGGCAAGCTCTCGGAAGAACAATAGCCTTTCTTGCCTGTTTTGATTTATGAGGTGCTTCTTTTTAGACATTCCGTCAGCAAACAGGCAAAGCTTTGACACCGGGGCCCTCTTTTTTCCCCTCTTTTCTTTGAAAACCGTGCATTGTCCTTCAATGATCTGAAAGAGCAAGGGCCGTGGAGAGGCCAGAGAGAAAAGGGGGAGGGTGACCATTGAAGGATGAGTGGAAAGCACTTCTCCAGCTCTCTCAGGGCTGAGCGAGAGGAGGCTGTGGAGAGCTCTTGAGCCGAACGTGTGCCTCGCCGGCACACAGGCGCACGCTGCCACTGGAGCAGGTAAAGATACGCTGCGTATTAATTATTAAAATGGGGATTAAAAAGTGGATATGAGTGCTCGAAATGATTCTACTGATAAAAAGGGTCACTCCTCTCAAATGATGAGGCAAGGTCAAAGACTGCCCCCGTTTTTTTCTGTCGTAATTCATTCCTAGTACAATTCTGCCCATGACCTAATGGTCATAGCTGTTTTGGATCAACTTTGGATGTGCGTTTAGTGCATCTTGTTTAAGCTGGAGAGAACATCAGAAAGTTCACTTTTTTACTCCAATATAGGATCAGAATGATCCTGAGGGGCATGTTGAAAGGCTTTCTATCCAGTGGAGATAAATCGACAAAGGGAGAAAATGACAGACAAAAGCACAAGAGAGAACAAAAGACACAGAAGGGAGTTTTTATAACAATGTTTTTGTCTTCTGTCGTATTTGGTTTGTTAAGAAGAGCCTGTTTTGCTTTAGATAGACACAGTAGCCCCCCAAAGAGCCCCCAAGCTTGCTTTATCTATGATCTCATTGCTTTCAAGTGACAAGGATTATAGTATATCTGTCTTTCAACTCTGGCATTGTTATGTTTATATTCAGGCCAGCTGATTGGGACTAGAAGCATGTTTTATATCTACCGCTTTAAAGTCTTGGAGGGATCAGAGAAACACAGACGTACCTGCACTTTGGTTCTGAAGAGCAAGTCAAAACAGACACATCTTTGGAACACCTGTGTGTGTGTGTGTGTGTGTGTGTGTGTGTCTTTGATAGACATCTCCTAAGCAAAAGAACTCACCGCTGCTGCAGTAGCTGCAAGCTGAAGAGCTGTTTGAGTAAGCTGCAGTGCAATAAAGTCTCAGCAGTCAAACTTAAATTAATTGCCAATGAGTTTAACAGCTCAGCTGCTTGGGCTTGGTATGCTAGAAAGATAAAGACCAGAGCCGCAAAGCAGTTACAGTGATGTGAAATAGCAGTCCTTGTGCCAGAATGGTAGTCTGAGAGTTTGCCTGTGCGTGAGAGTGAAAGTGTGTCATAATCATTAAGGGTTAGTAAACTCAAAAATTAATGCTGTCATCGTTAATTCTCCCTAATTTTGTCCCAAAGCTATATATGACTTTGAGTAAATTGTATACATATATACGCTTAAATAAAATCTGTTAAATAAAATCATACGATAATACAATATTCAAATTTATAAAATAAAAATACATTTGAATTTGTGGTCAAAAGATTTGAAACCTCATATGGGTGAGTAAATAAAAAAAGTCCTCTGCATCTGCAACTAGTGGTTCACATATTTTAGCCTCTGTTCCATAATCAGACTATTGATTACAGTGTTCTAACCCCAGACTACCGGTGTCACGAGGATCAGAGCGTTTGAGTGACACTTCACCCTACCAAAGGCTGGCACTCTTACCCCTAACACTTTAGACTATCAGAAGTGGAGGATGGAAAAAAACAGACGTGACATTCATGCATGAACAGACGATGGCTAATACTAGAAAAGAAAGAGAGGGCTTGTTCAGGATAAAGTCACTTCCACTTCATGAACGGGTGAGAGTGAGCTGATAAGCGACTGTCTCTCTCTGGGCTGAATTATTTTACGACTAAATTGTGTTTTTTTTTTAATCTTTTTAAAGTTCTAGTTTGAAGCTTGACTTCAAGTGACCACTTCTTTACCATGTCTGGAAAGCCTGCCGGGAAATATAGATTCTGTCTTCTACGGAGGCCGTGTGGCTACATCTGGTAAATCCAGGCACCTCCCAGGCCGCTCCATACAGACCATATTTTCTGCTCTTTGTCGTCATAGAGACCTGAGCGAGGTTGTAGTTTTGAAATACACCCCGCGGAGTCTGGAGCCTTGACATTATATTTAACCGCAGAGCAAAACTGCAGCCGTAAATCTATGGAGCAAAGCTGGATTTTATAGCGCAAGCATCAGGAGAAAG